TATATATATTTATATATATACATATGTATATGTATATATATATATATATATATATATGTCTTTGTGTATACATGTATATACATATATATATATATATATACATATACATACATATATATACATATATATATACATACATATATATGTATATACATATATATATATATATACATATATATGTATATATATATGTATATATATATATACATATATATTGCGATGTTAATAGATTTATACAATGAGAATTAGATCGTGATGAGATTATGATAATGAGACCGATTCACCTTTAAACACAAACCCTAAATAATCTTAATCATGGGTTACTCAAGAGGGATGTCGGGATAACCAGATCTAGTGGTGTGCTGTATACCCATCCATATGATGGAAGCAGATGGTCTCATAGTTGCTCGTGTGGGGACAATAGGGTTACAATGTAAGTGCTCATTGGAGAATGAAATCACTGATTAATCCGCTATCAAAATAATAGATGGTTGATGATACCTCATTGTCAAATAGTAATTTCGTCATCCTAGTGGTGTATTTAGTCTTTAAACTTGAGACACCAAGGATGTCCTATATAAGCACTCCACTCTTTGATACCGAACTTATAGGTTTGAAATTTTCAGATCTAATACAACTAATTATCGCGAGTGGTAGCCAACCTTACGAGGGCTATTGAGTGTCGATAGAGGATCATCCACTCTCGATATCATGAGAGAAATATCCAATGTGTCATTGCTCATAAAAAACCTTAGCAAAGGTCATTCGAATTGAAAGAGAAAGAGTTCTCTGGGAGAATTTGATTAGAGCGAGACTCGATGAGAAACCGTTTGGGCCTAACAACACCATGCATGGTATACAGTCTTTGGGATATTAGATAGATGATGGACTATAGGTATATGGTAATTGAGGACAGATAGGTCCAAAGGATTGGATTCCCCTATATCGTCTAGGGACTACGGTGTAATGGCCAAGTACGTCCGTAGTCGATGAGTTGAGTGAATTATTATGGGAATAATAATTCACTGAGCTAAAAGGAGTTCTGATAGGTATTATACACGACAAAATATTAGGCCTAGAGTTCACACACATATGTTAGGTGTTGCGATGAGTAAAGGTTCAAATATTATGAGATATCCGCTAGAGCCCCTATCTTATTGGATATCCAATAAACCCTTGAATTGTTGAATCATATGGATGAGAACCAATAAGAGTCAACGAGAGATTATTGGATAAAGATCCACTAGTCCAAGAGGCTTGGGTAGTTGAATAGAGATCTAATACCCAATAAGGTAAGATCCATTATAGTTAAGTTGACAATGGGTTTCTATAAATAAGAAAGAACCAAAGGGTGCTAGACTTCTTGGTTGTCACCTCCTATTCTCACCTCCTATTCTCCTCTCCCCATCCCCATCTCCTCCTCAGACAATAGGATTTGAGCATCGATTAGAGTAGTGTCTTCACAAATATCTCACGTGTAGTTTTCAAATTTATCTAGCACTCAAATCACACAATCGTATCAACTTAAATCCATGATTAATTCTCAAATCATAAAAGATTTTATTCCATTTGTACTTGTATCATGATCTCGTATTTAGTAGACTAATGTTAAATTCATATAATTTAGTTTCTAGTAATCTACTTGCTTGAGATTGACATACTCGCTTATCTCTTTGTACATTCCGATGCGTCGTAACCATAGGATTTTCTGCCATTTGGAATGGATTTGGCCTGGGCAAAGCCAAAATGGACGATAGTTTGTGTTGACTGTTAGTTTGGGTTTACGAAACCCCTTGTTGCCACTCTTCTTTTGCAATGAACGATCTAATGTATTATCATATTTCTAGATTTTTCATCACTAAAATGCAAAAAAAAGATGGTTGAAGAAATTTGTATACATAGTGAAACTAAACTCATTTGATACCAAAAGATCCAATAAATACATAAATACATTGAAACTAGAATAAGATTTCTAGTCATACAATCAAATACACGCAGCATGACAAATATATTCACAATTTAACTATAAGACTCGGTAATAATTTATAACAGGGAACTCTAAAATTGGAGAGCATGTTACAAAACATATTGGGAAAAAAATCGAACAAAGAAAGAAAGAAATGACGATGAATAAAACGCTTGCTAGCTCCAGGGATCATCCCATCCTTTCGGTCCCTCCCTCTTAACAAAGTCCATGATGGCTTGGACAGCCTCTTGAACTCTATTGGAGAGACCATGATTTCCCCAATCGATTTCAACCTTCTCTGCACCACCCAGTGCTCGACAGAGTCTGCAAAATCTTTTAAACAATGAATCTATCTCCCTCTAAGAGAAGTGGACTACTCACAAGAATCAGGTGGAATCTTAAATCGTTAGATAAGGACATCACTATTACCGTTCTACCAGTGCTTTCTTATCGACATAGTCTGGCACATATTCATCAGCCATGGAGAAAATAACCTGCAGCATAAGTCATGGAAAAGCAAACATCACCGGGATATCCTTTTGGCACATGAGTAAAATGACACCACCATCTTCAGACATAAAACAACAAAAGAAAAAATTAACTACATATTATCATTAGTAACTTAAAAGGAGATCAATATTTTGGACAGTGGAAACAACTTAAAAAGGAGGCTACAATAGAGTTCCCAAGTAAGATGATTCAAAGGGTTTCTCAAAAGATAAGTTTTTCAAGTACACAAATTGATATGATAAAAGAGATCTGGTGCAACAGATACTGATTCTAGGCAGTGAGACTGGTGAACTCCTGATCGTGATGAAGACTTAATGAGTTTCAGGTCCCAACCTTTTGTACTTATAACAGCTAAGTTCAGTTAACATATCTAATGAGGTAGTTCTTGTTGAATAATATTTATTGATGAAAATAGTTTGATGGATGCAAAGATTTAGGAATAGATCAAGTTTATGTGATTGATAACATAAAGAGAACTGAAATACAGATGGAGCTGTTATTTAACAGGAAAGGACATCAGAAGAAATTATTCATACTTCAAAGAAAGAAGAAGGAATAACTGAAGTAGAAAGACACATTTGAAGTATTGTGTACTATTAAATCTGCCTTAGATTAAAAGAAGTAATCTACAAACAAAAATAGTGTAATAAGGCCAATTATACTACACCAGTTAACTAGAAAATAACAAAATTTTTTAGTCTGAAATGAGGGCAACAAAAGGAAATTTCTGGATGATTTATCTTCCTCAGGGGAATAGTTAGGAGATTATATGATATTCTAAAAGGATTCTTTTTCACAAAGGTGGGGGATGATCTTATTGTGTTGGTGGATGCTCTGTTGAATTTGTTGGCCAGATCTTGTTTTTATGATCTTTTACCAAGCTTACTCAGTAGAATCTCTATTCTATTAAATGCATGTTCCAACATCACTTTTTAGTGGGTGGTGCAAATAGACAAAAAGTTTACATTGTAGGAAAATCAATAACTATTCAGGATGGGAGTCTTAGTGTAATCTGCCAGTCCATATATTGATTGACATAATGGAACAGATGACTGGGAACATGAGTATATTATCTTGGTGGCTTTCGTTTTGAGACCTACTGCCAAGACCTTTTATTTCTAAATAGGCTTTCATCCTCTCCTTCAAATCTTTTCTTTTCTCTTTTTTCTTCTGAAATAAGCTGGCATTCATCTGCCTTTTCCTTTAAAAAAATTAGTAGAGATCCAAATTTAATTTGATAAAATATCAGAAAAAATTAAAAAAATAATTTCATATGTTTTCTTCTTATAGTATTAGTAGAGATCCAAATTATGTTTCCCTAGTTTAGTAGTCTTGGTGAGATTGGTTTTCAGATGTATGCTTTCTTCATATCTATTGATAAACTAGAT